TATCAAATGGTACAATGACAGAAAAAGATATCAGATTTTGTGGCAACCAAAGGTATGATACAAACGAGCTTATAGCTGAGAAGAAAAGAAAACACAAGGCCAAAAGAAAAAGAAAACAGGGCAGAGGTGGGAGTAGAAGGCAGTCTCATCAAACAAAAAAAATTATGGTCGAAACAGACAGCAATAAACACTAAGAAATGAAGAATGTCAAAAGTAGCATACCCACCAAATATCGCCTGGAAAAGAAGTCAACAAACTCCAGGCAATATGGCAGTGCCACATGTTGTTGGCCTTTGGAATTTGTAAGGATGAGAGTAGGGTCAGTGACAAGATGTAGGTGGTCAGGATCTAAGTGGAGTGTCATACTATGCTGCAGGTACCTGAAGAGAAGTTCAGATGACTGTCAACTCTGCAACAACAAATGAACTTACTTCGCACCATAATCATCCACCAAGATGCGATCTTGCTCATCTGCTCCTTCAGGACCCACAGGAGGGACATCATCCAAGTCGTACTTCCATCTCTCCTCCAGATGCTGCTGTCGACTTCTATGTCATCACCTTTGAGGTTGAACAAAACTGAATGGCAATCACAGAGGGCTATTGACGGGCGGATAATATCCCAACGATCAAGGTAGATTCACCCTCCTCTGCCATATACGAGCCGCACGAGATTGGTGTGGAGGGGGAAGGGATGGAGGGGTGCTGTCTTTGTTAGTCTTATCAGAGCTGGATGAAGGCCAGGCAGGAGCACCAGGAGGAGGTATGTATTTGAAGAGTCTGCAAGCATAAGGAGCCGGGTGGGTTTGGTAGGGGTTCTAGAAACATGAGGTAAGCACTATTTCAGAGTAAAGGTCCTATAAATGAAAACATACATCAATCTGGTCATCCCAGTGATGATCAATATCCTTCTGTCTTGCCAGCTGCGACTCGATCTGCTCACGAATCATCACGAGTTGCTCCTTCGGCCTAATGATAATTTCTGGACGAGGAGTCGAAGCTTGATTATCTGTCCTTATCTTGAGTCCTCCCACTCGACTATAGAAAGAAATCAGATACCATCTGCAAGAAATCGAAGAGAAATAAAACGTACACAACTTCCAGTTTTTTAACCAGCCGTTCCTTGTCTACCAAGAGCTCCTCATCGATCTTCTCGTTGAGCAAAGGAAATTTGCATTTGAGATTGGCGAATGCTTGTCATTTCTCCCAGAGAGCTTGTGCCTGGATGGCATTCTCCTTGTTGAGTGTCTCTTGAATGAGGATCGACTTCGCGAGCTCAAGCGGATAGTTCAACTCTATCTGCAGGCAAGCAAGTGAGGTCACTTGCTGTGCCCTTGTCTTGCAGACTGCTTTGCTCTCTCTCCACCGGAAACAAATGTAGGATTCATTAAGGGTGTCGGATTCATCGCCCTACATGTTTGATGAGTTCAAAGAGAAGAAATAAAAAAACGAGAGCACTCACATTTAATGTGGGTATGATATGGTGGCCGCCTCGCTCGACTCTGCATTCCTTCCAATAAGAATAGGCGGCCTTGGCGATCTTCAACAGAGCAGGCTGCACAGGTATCCACAACGGGTTGACAAATATCACAAGCATGGATGTCGGTAGGGGGGCTGAGAACACGTCCTGGTACTCCGAGAACGCTGGGAACTCCATGCCATCGATCGCAGGGGTGTCGGAGGGTGGTGGAAGGCAAAGGGCAAGTGGTGGTGGGTGAAGGAGGTGAGAGGGCGGCGGTGGCCACTTGTTGGCCAATCGTGCACCGAAACACCGCCGAACTTGGATGTTCGGCATCGTTGGGCACGCGGGGTGGTTGTCCGCTGGTTGTACGGGTGTCGGAGGGCGGTGGAAGGTGAAGGACAGGTAGTCATGGGTGAAGGAGGTGGCAGGGCAGCAGTGGTGGCTCATGGGTAGATGGCAATGAAAACAATGTCGAATCAGCGTGTTCGATGGCGTTCGACGTTTGCTGTGGTCGTCTGTAGGTCATGGGTGTGTTGTGGGGTGGTGGATCCTGGAGGGATGGTGGTGGTGGTTGCAGGAGGTGAGAAGGGCGCGGAAAGGGGTTTGTGGGCAGATGGAACCCGAAAAACGCCGCCAAACATATGAGTTCAGCATTGTTGGGGGTGTGTTGTGGTTGTCCACAGGTCATGGGCTTGTCGCTGGAGGGCAGTGGGAGGCAAAAGGGTGGTACTGGGAGAAGGAGGCAAAAGGGGCAGCGGTAGTGGTTTGTGAGTGGACAGAGCCCCTGCTCGTTCGATGTCGTTGGGTCTGCAATTCACTCGTTCACAGGTTGTAGGCGTGTCAGAGGGTAATGGAAGGCAGAGGATGGGTGGTTGGTGGATGCTGGAGGCAGGAAGGATGAAGGTGGGGGGTGAATGGGTGAATGGAGCAGCAAAACGACCCCGAAAGTGCGAGTTCAGCATCACTGGGTGTGTGCCGTGCTCGTCCGTGTAGAAGAGGGAGACGGGTGGGGGGATCAATATGTGATAACATTGTCCGGGGTTCTGGAAGTGGTGGAGGCGGGCGGTAGTTGGAGCAGGGAGGCAGGATGTGGGTGCTTTGGTGGGAACACCCTCGGACTCATCATGCGGTCATAGTCACGCGACTCTGGGTGTAAACTGGACTTTCGTGGTGACGAGCCAGTGAATATGCGTAGGATCTGCACGATGAGGGAGTTGATCTCAGAATGCGAAGGATAAAAGACACGAAAAAGGACTCACCTTGATCCCTTCCAGAACCCGCAATCAGCGCCTTGACATGGACAAGATAAGGAGAGCGCCGTGCAGGGTCAAATTGCCTGCCATCCAGCGTCAGCCTGACGCTGGATTTGCATGGGGTGAAGAGACTTGGAGAGAATCAACAAACGAGATGATGCGATGTCATGTCTGTGACAGTATCACATGACTCCATAACAAGTCTGTTCCAACTTCAACTTCAAGTCTTCAACGTTCAACCATCGACTCCACTGGTCAGCACTCGCACTGCGTCCCCACTTGTCTCAAACACTCAACGCCGCCGTCAACTTGTGCATGCCACCTGTTGTTCTCTCAAGTCCTGAGTGCCTGGCACTCGCTCGGTATCTCAGAAACGACACGGAACTTCCAGATATTCTTATGGCAGCCTCAATGAAGATTGAGGCATGTGTGCGGCAAACACCTGCCACCCCATCTTTTGCACCCTCTCCTTCACAATTTCTTGCAGTGAGTATCTTGGCCTGTGAATAAAGTTAACATGTTAATCATTTCTTAGAGTATCAACGGTCTGGATGATCCATGGCAAACTCCCCCTCCTGCTGACCATTATCCTGTCCAATCAGTGAGTTCATTGCCTTCATGTGCTACATTTTCTCTATAGTTCTGACTTCTTGGTCATCTAGATCTCTTCCAAAGCATCAAATTTTTGGGACAAGGATGACGATATATTTCCACTGACCCCATCTCCTCATTTCCTTGGTGTTGACCCAGCCACTCCTCGTGGCGCTCTCAGCCCCATGTCAGACCTGTATCTCCACTCTCCCTTTCATCTCTCCCACTTGGAAATTGCAAATACCTGCCGACGCTCATCAGCAAGTCCTGTGGCACCTTTGTCTCCGAGCTGCCTTGCCGGAAACCCTGAACACTGGACCTCAAGTATTCAACCCTGTGTCCCACAGCGAAGGCGGTGGAGCTCATCCCTCAGTACCCCATTGCCCCAAAACCGTTGCCGGTTGTCACCAGACAGCTCTAGGGATTGTTCAACTCATGGATGTCATGGTCATTCATGCACACGATACCCACTGGATAACTACTCCTTGACTCGGATACAGGCCATGGTAGCGTTGAGTCAAGTTGAGAGCATGGAGGTTGATGGGGCAGATGAGGATGGGCAGTTGGACGGTGGGGAGGAGCTGGATGGGGAGGATGACGATGAATACCGACCTGGGGCAGGAGAGGAAACTTCAAGGCTTCGTGGTGGGGCTGGGTCTGGCAACAACCATCGTTGTCATCGTTGTTGTCGAGGTAGCAGCTGCAACCATGGTGGTGGTGTGGCCCCACCTCCATAGTCGTATAATGTGATGACTTGTTGTGGAAATGCCAATGATACTTCTGTTGAACGTCGCCGAGAAAGCTTTGAGCCTGCATGTTACGATGAGAACAACCAAGAAGATGTCCCTGACAGCCGCCACGGTGCTGGAGCTACAGACTCCAACAATGTTGATAATCAAGAGACCCCCAACATTGATTCAAGTGGGCAAGTTTATGGCCCACCTACCCAAGCTGTGGCAGCGGCGTCACTTGCAGAGAGTCTTGCTGGCGGTGGAATGGCTGAGGTTCACAAGCTCAGTGGACCTATGCACAAGTTGCTCGAGAAGATAGCAAAGCAGGCCAAGATAATCTGTGACCGCTCTTCTGGTGAAG